TACAGTCTCGCACAGTTCCAGAACAGACAGAAGCGTTCTGCACAGACGACGACCTTCCCACCCCCCGTCAACTAGAACCCGTACGAGACACATCCACCCCAGAGTTTCTATGTTGTCTCTGGAGGTGCTCTCGATGAACGACCCGACCAACTTCCCTTACCCGGACACACTCAGAAAAACCGACTCACATAGAACTGGACCACCGTCGCCGTCTACCTCCCACCTCCGTCGACATTTTCGACCAGACGACAGGAACCCCGACCGAGACCACTTCGGACTCCGGTTTCAGTTAGAAGCTGGACCCCCGAGCGCGTTGTGACTACCTACACGACCGACGACCTTGTTGCGTCCGGCGACACCGCGGTTATCCGCGTCCGGTCACGACACTTTGGAGACATTTTGTTTAATTTTTCATCCGTCATTATAATGTGTGATTAAAGTAAACTCTATCGTTCAAGTTCATTGCTTACAACGAGTTTTGCGTGTTATTGTTACGTGTGTTATGGGCTTTTTTGGTCAAACCCCCAGGAACCTGCCTCATTGCTTATTTATTATTTATCTAAGTAAGATGCAATATTCATCGGTCGGCGCGAAAGTTAGCGAGAGGTCAGGCCGGCTATTTTTGTTTGTGTATTTTTCTGTTCTATCGTGTTTATGTATGGTGAGTGCGTATCCTGTATTTGTTCTGTCAGCGTCATATATGTTGAGGTTAGTTATTGGTTTATTTATTGTTTGTCTCCACGACATACTTATTTCTCGTCTCTTGACATTTATAATGAAGAGTTGGTTGAAAGTTCTGATGTTCAATATTGTAAATAGTGAGATTTTCCAGTTTCTTACATTTATATAAATAGTTGGTTCAAAAAAACATATTTATAATAAATTGTTGGTTGAAAAAAAAAGTTTGAATGCTCAATTTGTATTTGTACACATCACATGAACCTTGGTATGTAATATGAAGTCATTATTCAGTTCTAATGTATCTCAGTCGCTGCTGTGGTGAAAGTAGAGTGATAAACACCTGTTTTACTCAAAATTCAAATGTAATTTCTTTTATTTTAGACATGAATTACACATGTAATTCAAATATTTCACTACTTTTGTGATCCTAAGACTTTGGTAACCAAATCTAAAACACCAAAACAATTGGATGGAATTAGTAAATGTGTGTTTTCACAAGAGTTTTGAAGATTCTCCGGAAATCGGATGTCAAATGTTAAGCTTTAGAGCTACTTATGTCATCATACAGTGCAGAGTCAGAAATCAGTAGAAGTCTTTAGAATGCCAGGAGTGATTCGAGCAGCTCAAAGAGGGAAGCTCTGCTTGGACTTTTGAAACAGAAAAGGAACAAACATTAGCTCTCCATAACAACACAAACATTGACTTACTCTGCATCCTCACCAGCTCTCAGGGTGGATTTCTTCCACCCATTATCGGGAGGAACTTCTGCCGTTTGGACCCGTTCGGTTCCTTATGTTGACAATAGCTCAAATATGCTGCTTAACCACATCCTTGAAGGCTCCCATAGCCTGGAAAAGGGAGAGAGCAGGACAAAAAAACTTGAAAAATGGGATGAGAAAACATCCAGGCCACCGCTCGTCCTCTAGGCGTGACTCAGATGGCCCCTGTGCACATCGGCTGTCTCCACAGGAAGTCAGGACAGATCTGCTGCGCCACTGCACAGCGACCCGACTTAAGAGTGCAACTCATCACTGACACACCACATATATTTTAAACACGTCATTTTTTGGATGGTGAAGGCACTTTTATTTGTGTTTCCCCTGATCTGTCAGAACATTTCTGTTTTTTTTTCATCAATTAACAAGACTGAAAGTCACAGAAAATGTCAATTCACATACAAGCAACTGCTGTTCTGCACAGACACACCAAAGTAATCATTGTTATCTGCCATTTATGGTGATAGTGTGAAAGGCCGGGAAGGCAATAAGTAGCTTGTGGTGATGAAGCATTCGAATATTAATAATACAATTAATAAGAATGTACTCAATTTAAGACAAGTTGCTGCATTGACTGTCACAACTAATATGCTGACCAGACTATTTTCAATTTAGCATGAAGCAATATGTTCGCTAAGATCGGGCCACACACATATTTGGCAATACAATTAGATTAATAGAAATTGGGAATATGGAAGCCAATAACACACTAAATAGGGTAACAGGCACCATAGATGACTACATTATAATGTTTGAAGCTCGTAGAAAATCTAAAAACCAACCTTCTGTTTCAGGGGGAAGCTCCAGATACTCCACATCGTCACTCCATTTCCAGATAGGACGGGCTACATAAATGAATATCCTGGAAAATATGCAAAACAAAAATCAGGGTTGGATATTTCTCAGATGTCCATTAAATAACATAATTGAACACAAAATGAATAATAATTGAAGATATAATCGACAGGTCTTCTAAAATCTAAAATGCAACTATCAGGTTAGGTCGGGGTAGCCTACTGATGCCATTGCACCAAACACCCCAACTGATCAGTGCAACTCATCACTCTCACCACCACGGAGGAAGGACTTATGACATTAGGAGACCCTACAGCAGGGTGGTTTACCTTGTGTTCCCGTTTCATATCGACGGGGAGCATCATCAGGCAGTATAGTGAGGGCTTCATGGTAGTTAGAAGTCAGGCCTGCGTACACAACAACACACAATGCAAGAAGCTAACGTTAGCCTTAGCCATGTGAACAACACGTGGTCAATCTCGGTTGCACAGTCAGTGTTGAAAAACGTTAATGTAAAAAGGTAAACTGGCCTATGTGACAATGTAAGGGACTGTAGTGGTTGGTTAGTAATAATACGTATTTCTCGCCAACGTTGCAAACAAACTAACACGTTGGTTAAAACAAAGGCCAAGCCTCACAGTTAGCTAGTTAGCTCTGGTGTGTTTAGCATTTAGCATCTGCTTCCGTTTCTTAAAACACCCACTGTCCCTACTAAAACAGAACGGCCAAAATCATCTCAAACTCACCTTCGTTTGTATCCAGGCTCATTTATTTTATTAGATTTGTTGTGTTTTTTACTTTGAGTAGCTGATCGTGTATCTGACTTACTAGTGCGCGTGGATTGTAAGCAGCAAGGAAGTACGTTTCTAAAAGCTAACCTCGCATTGGCTCAAGCCCTGGGACGATAGTGGACGTTTATTGGACAGTTGAATAATGTTTTCCGTTTGAACCACCAATGAAAAGTTCTATGACGTTCACACAAGAGTTAAGGTCAAAACCATAGACTGTATGGTCAAACCTTGAATATATTTATTTTTAGTTTAATTGGAGTTGTTCGTAATATAACTTTACAGCTTTCTTGCAACTTTTATTTTGTCCTCATATTTTCAAATAGAAATACACATGTTTACTTTGCCTACTCTTTTGTGAGCCTGACTGTTCTGTTTAAAGATGAATGGACTGCCTTTTGTAAAATACATGCACAATGTACATACACATAGCCTATAACATGTTTACAAACATCCTGAATATGCCATTCAAGCATCTGAATGCAAGATGCCAATTATATATAAGTTACTGAGGTTATCTGGTGCTTGGGGCATTTTGTTCACCTGTTTATCATTTAAAAGCCATATAAAGCTGAGTGTGCAGATCAGTAAAACATGTTTGTTTGTATGGTACATTGTAAGTTGCCAGCAATAAAATACTAGCACCTCGTCTCTTCTGCAAGGACGTGAGTGGTTTATTTGTTTTCTGTCATTGGGTTATTGTCTGGTCCACCTTGTTTCCTTTCACATAGTAGTTTGTGCTTCAGTTACAAACTGCTTTTTGGTGGGACCTTGAAGTTACTTAAACATCTTTACTGGTCCCCTGAACAGCTGGCCATTGCAGCAGCTCCATCACCAGCCTGCTGGTGCCCATCTTTTCTCCTCTTTGTTATGTCTGTGATTATCTACAGAAGCAGACATCAGCCTTTTCTTTATTGCTTCATGAGGGTTGTGTCTGACGAGGAATAAGTACATAGATGAGCGAGCCAAAGGTTTCATTGAAATGCAAATGCAATTTTATATTAAAAGATAGCAAAGGGACCATTCACTATATCACACAACACAGCTTGTTAGTACTGCCATGGAAATACATATACAGTCTTTTCATATTTACACATCAAGTGACAACCAAACAGAAATCATAAATACCTCTTTTTGTTAACTTTACAACAGCTATACGCGACCAGTATTTCAGAAGATAAAAGAGCACTATTAAATAACTGGCATCTTCCCTATCATTTACAAGGCTTGGAAACACAGTGGTTAAAATAATCCAGCGAAAACAAAAACAAAATGTTCTTCTCCAGTGAGTAAAATTAATACAAGTCTAAAAACAATCATGAAATCCCTTTGTACAAAAGACTATACAACTTAATCAACACAATATCTTCAACAGAAATGTTTGCTTATATCCGCATGATAACATCTGTACAGTTTTAGCATTCCTGCAGCAGAGTTGGAGGGACTGTGAGCCGGGTGATTGGTTACTGGGTCGCTGTGATGCTCTGTAGGCCTCGCTTCAACCAACCGTCAGAGATCGTAGTTATGTAGCTGCCAAGACCCTCTCTCATTGGCCTCAGTGCTCGTCTAGCAGCAAATCAGCAGGTTGCTGAGCTTGTAGCAGATACTTCAAAATACATGGTTCTATAAACTAACCGATATATTTGTCAATATAGTATTTCCTTGTACCATACCTCAACAACAGACAGAATGGTACTCTAAAGTTAAAGCAATGCATAATATATTGTATTAAATTCATTTTTCAGTAAGTTGTCAGTGATATATTTCTAAACTATAACCCTCACTGTCTGATGGGGTCAGACATGCACAGTGTTCCTAAGTTACATACATGTATGTGTTATACTGTACTGTGGCAGACATTGCAAGTACACCTCTGCATTACAGCTCTAGAGTTGATGAAGCAAAACTGAAGTTATTAAAACAATAAATGTTTTCTAGCATTTGGCCATGCAGATACTTTTGGTTGTGTGAGCCAGGTTTATTTTGTTTTAATTTCCACATCTTTAATTTCCCCTTACCCCAAAAAAAGAGAGAGCCAATAGAACGTGTGTGATTATGTTCCAGAAGTAAGAAAACTCAATTTGAAAAAGTTACATTTATGTGTACTGATGCACATTTCTTAACATCTAAACATACAACATCATCTTTCTCGACAGAGAAGTTGATGTTCAGTTTATATTTACATTATTTTAAAGTGATTTAAACATTATAAAGTAATGTTTTGTAATAGACTTTCAAAATAAACCAAATTTCATACAAGCCCTAGGCCGTTTTCAGGTAAAAAAGGAAGGTATTAAAATCGACAAGGAGTGCAGAATGGCGCATACGTTCTTATTTAGGAAGATTATATTACAATTAATAGGTTGGTAAGATGACATATGTTGATAATATGGGATTGAGAAGGGAACATTAACGATGACACACACACACACACATTTAAGGGAGATATGTTTCAATTTAGCGATAGTAATGTGTTGTTATTAAAGAGCTTCAAATTCTAAGAGTAAGTGCTGTTGTAGATAATCCTTTATATATATTTTTTTACCAGGAACGTGTCCCAAATTGTTATAAAAGGACCAATTAAATTAACAGCTAATGAGGATTGCGAAAGTAGTTAAAAAAAACTAGTGGTTTGGGAATAATAAATCCTAAAGATCAATACCTGGGTAAATAAAACCACAACTATCTGCATGGCTAAATAACACTAGTTGTGAGGAAAGGTTTTTGTCATTGGGACCGAAGAAGTAAAAAAGTATGCCACAAACCTGTGAGAAAAAATATGTTACAGCTGAAAGGGGAATAAGAACGAAATGTTTGGCACTTAGGCTGTTACTTCATCTTGGCTTCCTCTGCTATGCCCGAGGATCAGCAATATTTGAATTACAATTAAAAAGAAAGAAATAAAAGGCTGTTTTCAGGCTAATTAAGCTAATGTTGAATGGACTTCTGCAGCCAGCTGAAAGAACCAGCTACAAAACATCCTTACTCGACCTGTTGGAGGCTGTAAAATAAGGAATCAACACTGAGGGCCAGTCGGTAAAGTCAAAGGAGAGAAATATCCTGTCACTAAGATTCCTATTGAAGTGTAAATGCTGAAAGAAGCATGGAGACTCTGTGAAGCCCCACCCTTTGGCACTGACATAAATACAACTCTTGAATACCCGGGTTCTAACAAAAACACTCTCGGCATCTTCTGAAAGTCAGCAAACCAACTCTACAAGTACAAAAACGTTCATAAATAGAGTTCATAAAGACATGAGTGGCATTAGAGAGAGCATCGCGGTTACGTCGTCCAGGGAGTATGTTGTTCTAGCTTTATCCCGAAAAATAAAAAGTTCACAAAAATAACAAGTTGTACACAGAGAAGCGTTTGTCGCATTGAGAGTCTGCATCCTTAAAAAAGGCTCCAGAATACGCTTGTGTCTCTCTGTTCACTTCCTCCCCAGTTGCTTTTTCCAGCATGCTCATTAGTTTATCATTTCACCTGAAGGCAGTAGCACTCAGGGTAGGGTACTGTGTGTGTGTGTGTGTGTGTGTGTGTGTGTGTGTGTGTGTGAGAGAGTACAAATAGGACGGAGCCCCAGATACAGAGACAGGAGTTGTTGTTTTTCGGGAGCTTAGTTGTATGTAACCAGTTCATTTGTACCTTAACTCTACGTATGCAACTGTTACTGTGTTTGTACCTATTTATCTGTGTACCAGCTATAAATACAGGTGTGTGTATGAGTGTGTTAGGTAATGGAGGTTGAGATGAAGCACAGAGGGCTCCTCACACTTCACTCTCGGTGGAGGGCTTGCGTGTGGAGACCCAGCCGGTGTCGGGCAGGCTGTGCTGGGAGTGGCGCTGCGGGGTGATGGCTGAAGGGGTCAGGGTGGTTATGGAGGAGCATTCGGACGCTTCCTCCTGGAGGAGCTGCTCCGTTTCGCCGTCGTCTAGCGAGGCGCTGCTGGCCTGCAGGGACACGGTGTCGGTGCGCATGCAGGTGTGCAGGCCGCCTCGGGACGGCTTGATCTGTTTTAGGTCGTCCCAGTAAAGCTCCTCATTGGACAGGAGACACACGCCCTCCACTATGCGGATCTTCTCCTTGGTGTAGCCTCCGTCCACTCCCCCCTGGAAAACGAGAACAGAGTAGTTAGTTAGAGGGATGGCCTCCTTATGAGCAGGTTAAAGCTCATGGTACTATTTGTTAAACTTAACACTTTCTAAGAGTTAATTGATCAAGCTACCATGATGTGGCTCTGCTTTATTTCTTTGTTACATGCATTTCTTATTTTTCTCTCTTGTTCTGTCTTCCTTAAGACTAACACTTCCTTCTTTTTTTAAACATGCCACTAGGGGTCACCCTTAACATAAAAAAAGACAGTTTGGTGACGTCATGCACTTATAAGGAATCATCAATTAAATACCAGTTTTCCCTAGGTTTGAACCATTTGGTTTAATGTAAGTATACAATTCAACAACATATATAAAATACAGTAGATATAGTAATTTTAAAACATATCAATGCAAAAATGTTATTAATTATACTGTCACATTTAAAAAAAAGTGTATTAGTGTTACACAAACATCACCAAAACTTCAAAAAGTTGAACCTGTCAAAAGAATGGTTTCCTTTGAGGGGTTTGCAAAGCACAGCACTCCAGAACAACATGTCACCTTCAAACACAACTCATGCACATCATGTCGGCTCCTCTGATGCTGTGCCTTCTTCTGTGGTTTCTTATTTTCAGATTGAAGTGCTGCAAGTCCATCATTTTAATAAAGAAAAACACCAGGATTTCAATCTGTGGAAACTCGAGTGGAATCTAATATATTGTTGATAGCATGAAAAACAGGGATATTTTCCAGAAAAAATGGACAAATATCCAGTCTGTTGTTATAATAGTTAGAACAGTGTCTGTTCATATCCACCTCATTTTCGTTTTTTGACAGCTGGTTCAATAGCTTGCAATACATAGAGACTGGATATGGCCTTATACAATACATCTAAGCTTTTAATGATGAATCAAACATAAGGCGGCCATCCCTTCATTGTTTTTTCTTGATTCCTCGCCTGTTGAAATGTCAGTTTTCAAATGTAGGTTAAACACTGACTTAATGTTAATTTCAGACAGCAGGTCCCATGCAGTTGAAAGAAAGACAAAGTGAAGGAAAACAAAGAAGCAAAAAGAGGACACCACTCCGTCATGCTGTGTAACTACCTCTCCACAGGGCAAGTGGGTCAAAAGATAAAGGGGGAGAGGGAGTTGTAGGGATGAGAGAGCTGCAGTGAGGAGAGAAGGGGGGGAGAAAAGATGAGCGCTGGTGTCTGTAACCTACTTACTGTAACATTACGTTACAATATTACAACTCGATTCTTCAGACACACAGTGAGATCATTTGTCTCCATTGTTACCCACCGTACACCTCCATAGTCTGTGATCATTCTATGGAATTATCATGGATTCACCTGAAATCCATTCAGATATTAAATTAAATAAGTTTAGTGTTGTTTTCCCTGTCCGTTACCTCTTTCTTATATCGCAGCTGGTTGTATATCGGAGGCTTTTGCGACGCCTCAATCTTGACCTCTTGTGTCGATGTCCGATACGAGGGGTTACTGTAGGTCAAGTTGCTCACTCCCGGGTCGGCAAACTTCGACTTTTTATGTCTGTCGAGAGAATGGAGAGAAGATAGTACATATCTTAATACATTAAACTATCCACTGTGTGTCATTTGTATGATTGTGTTATTAAACCCTGTGTTTCAATCCAGGAAGTAGGATAATTCAGAAGTGTCAAGTGGGGTACTGACCTGTAAATAATCAAAGCAGCGATGAGGATCAAAATAGCCAGGATGGTCAGAACTCCACCAATCACATAGCTGATATGAAGTCCTTCTCCTGAAATATATATGGCACAGATGTTAACAGAGCAAAATACAGTGCTTTACTCTCTTACCCAATTTCAGTTTCACTTCACTGTGTTTAAATGTTTTGGGATGTATGATAGCACTCGTAACAAGTCCTATATTTACAGCCTTTCAATGTTTATGTTTATTAGAAACCTGAGATGCAGGTGTCTCTCCTACAAACTCAACATCATTCTCCAACTTGATGTGAATGCAGAGTGGAAAAAAACGGTGTGTAGCACTGTAAGTGCTAGAGGAAAGTGCTATTCACATTTCATTTGCATTTGATGATGGACTTTAGCATCCTTATTTGTTAAGCAAGTCAAGTATAACGGTTTTTATTGATATTTCCCAATTGGTTATTACTTTAACTCCCACACAAAGTAGCTTTGGCCTTAGCAAAGCTACATTTGAAGCAGTGGGAAAGTGTTCAAAGACGAAAAACGTCCCCTCTAAGACCAAAGCTGTTATCATGTTTACTTGCAAGTTAATAACTAACTATTACATCCAACTTTGTTTTAAAACTATCTAAAGCAGGCTAGCAGTATCCCTCTGCTTCCAATAGTCTGGCTTAGCTCTATGTACTACTGACACACATGGATACAATGCAAACATTGTTCTTTAGAGTGGTAGAATGATAAATATCAGATTGTCACATTAAGACAACATGCATTGTGTAAAGAGATGAAGGGAGAACTTTGTCGTATACTGACCGTGAGGAGCCGTCACCACGCTGTTCACACACCCCTCTACGTTTAGGTTCTTGTCAGTGCAGCTGTAAAAATTAGACAGAATCCCAGATTGAAAATGGTACTTTACGTAATATTAGCTTTAATTACTTCACAAAACATGATGTTGTTTTTCCTATAGACGACTCTCTGTAGGGTTTTAGCAATAGTCTGTAAGCTTCTGTAGTTAATGATTTAATGATTCTATTAGAGATGAACAATTACATTATACTTCTCTATGGGATGAGACATTTCTCAGATCTTTATAAAAAGGCTTGAGAGCACTCAATATGTTGTTCTTTGAGCAAGATAGGGCAATTCTTCTTCTTTTTTCAACAAGACCTGGTTCTTGTAATAATAAAAGTTATTTATTTTTGATTGTTTTGTAAAAAAACAAAAAAACAAACAAAAAAACAAGACAAACATGATGCTGATGACGATGACCTAATATTTTATTTATAAGCAAAATGTACGCTACAGGGGGTAAGACCAGAAACGTTTAAGCTTCTTCTTGCCCCTATTGATCATGACAGAGACTATTTGAGAATTCTTTTTTTTTTACTTTGTTATAATTGCAAGTAAAAAAAAAAAATATATATATATACATTATTATTATTGTTGTATGCTTTGCTTCTGATATGTTCAATAAATTGTCAAAAAAATAAACACAAGGGTCATACATGGGTTTTTAAAGCAGTTATGCCAACATGTAGAAGAACACGTTTACTAATGTGGTTCTTGTGTGATAATTTTATGGTTCTCTCCTTAACTAGATATTAATAACATTTCTGCTAATGCATTTTGTAACAACTAAAGTAATTAATTACTCTAAAAGGAAGCTTTGCCATTAGAAATGAATTCATAGAGGCAAACAGACGTACTTGACCGCTGAGGCTCCTCCATGTGGAACGTCGGTTGTAGATTTGGGGATCTTGTTGGGGACAGGAGTGCTGCTTGTTCCTCTGGCCGGAGCGGTGGGGACGTAACCTGAAACTGATGAAAACATGCACATTAGAACCGGAGTAAGATAGCTGTTTTTTGGTTGTCTTTAATTATTATTTCTACAAGGTTTAGGCATTGCGTGAAATTGTATTTGAAACGTGTATCTGTGTGTCTGTGTGTCTGTGTGTCTTATTTCATATTATATTTTTTGGTAAAACATATTTAATTTGTTTTAAACCTTGTTCAATATCTGAGTTCCCATAAAGGAAAGGAAAGGCAAGGCAAGTTTATTTATATAGCACCTTTCATATAAAGGTCTGCCTAGACATTGCATGCAAACATGCTGGCATGGTCAAACAAAAGTCAAACATCATTAGGAACAGTCACAGGGAACAGTGGTCACTCACTGGTGGAGCAGGGTCGCCCGTCTGGCTCATCGGGGCAGGCGCACACAAAACTGTTGGTCTTGGCGAAGCAGAGGTGAGTGCAGCCGCCATTATTTACTCCACAGAGATTAGTACCTAAATGAGAAGAAAGGGAACATTCAAACAGTGTGTCTGAGTCTGGTATATCTGAAACTTGGGAGGGTTTTTCCGCCGTGATAAGATCTGAATTCAGCTTCCTTTACCTAACAGCACTTAGACTCTGAAAAAAAGGTTCCAGCATTTAAATACAATTCAAAATAATAATAGTGGCTACCTCTTGTGAAATATTTCTTTCATTTCTAAAAATACTTTTAAAAAAACTCAATAAAGTCAGGTATCTTCAACATTCCAAGCTTCAAATCGACAGGCTACCACTGAATCAGTGTGACTATAATTCAAAGTGTTTTTACAGGGAGGCAAATTTGATGGGGTTCATTTCAGTTCTGATTATGTTTAAACTGTAAGAGAAATTCCTACTGATTAAATACAACATATATTTTTGAGACTGTACTCTGTGGTGTTGTTGTGAACATTTTTGTAATATTTCAGATCAAATTAGTGTAATTGGGTTAAATGTTTGTATTTGTTGTCTTACAGTATGGTATCGCATTATTTTCCTCTTATGTGTCCAGTTTGTTGTCTGTTTCCACCCTGGTTCACTCGCATGCATTGGGAAAAGAGTATATTGCAAGGGAGTTTGCCTGCATTTAAAAACCTTCATAAATGTGTAATTTTAGTGTGAAAGGGTATAACTGCAACCCACTCTACACCTTTATTCATTTCCTGTTTTATTTAAAGCTCTAATTCTTAAATCAGTCTCTACTGCTTCAGCACTTTACCAGCGACACAGTCCCCTGTCCTTACAGATGAACAAAGTGAAGTCTCTGGTGTCTCCTGTAACATCTGGAGTTGTACCCTTACCTGTCTGTCTGTGAGGTGATACCACTATAATGTCCATGAGGCCCTCCACATTGTTCAGCACAGTTTCCTTGTTGCGGCCTGTGTGTTTGTCCACCCGCTGGATGGACTTAGTCTGCCAGTCCGTCCAGTAGATCCAGCGGTCTTGCTGCGAGAGTCGGGAGAAAGGAGTTAGAGGGGAGGACACCGGCTTCAACTGGGGAAACGAGGGAGAAGAAGAGAGGAGAGAAAAAACACAGACAAGGAGAAGGGGAATGGGAGGAAGAAAGGGAAGGGGAAGAGGGAGGGAGGAAGAAAAATGAGGGTCAGAGTGGAAGAAGAGAAATGGTTAAGTCGAATGGGTTCAGCATGAGTTGAAGGACGCAGAGACGGAGTCACACGGTGAGCCGATGAGTGAAAGAGAGCAGGTGAGTGGAGGAGGCAGCCAGGAGGAAGGGTCACCCAGTGATTGACAGCTGAGGGTGAGGAGGGGAGGGGGTACCTGCGTGAGGGCAAACGGGTGGGACACCGGGCTGACGAGGACCTGCCGCAGCTTCCCGTTCAGGTCCGAACTCTCGATCCTGTCCAAGTGGGCGTCCACCCAGAAGATCCTGCAGAAAACACCACAGGTTCATAAACACACTTCTGTCTGTATGAGCCTTCTAACTGGAGAAAAAAACACCTATTTCTTTCATCACTTTCTAAATCAAAAGATGTATCAATTAATAGGGTTACAACTGAAATACAAATCAAATCAAGTTTTATTTATATAGCACATTTTTAAACGATTTTTGGTCGAGCCAAAGTACTGTACATATAATAAAAATACCCTACAGTAAGGACACTTTACAGCAAATACAACAGCACAGTTTGTGCAGAATATCAGTATGAGAAAACGACACCCTCTATTCTTAGACCCTCAGATCGTACAAGGAAAAACCTCCGGAGAAAAACCCACAAATAACTCGAATATGATTTAATATGTCAGAAAAAGTTCAAAATTGATATCCTAGGTTAACAAAGTCAAGGTTATGTCTTTACATGTCTTGTTTATTAATTCAAACACCCAATAATTTTTGTTTAATTCATTTACAAACAGAAAACCATGAAATCTTCATCTCTAAAAAGTGTACAAAAATGCATTTTCCGACATTTCTGCATTAAAATGGACTTTACTGATCCATCAATAGTCAAAATAATATATTTTTTTGTTGTTGATTGACTTGGCATTGCAGATCTATCATTTAACTCTAAGTAATCCAAATTGGCTAAACTTCTAGCACTCAACCCTCTGTATCGTATATTTAGTTGTTATACATTAACTGGCCGTTATACAAATCTTCATAAGTCTCTCCTTGACTTGTAGATATTATTTTCAGATATGGTGAAGATCATCATTTTTTCAAAAATATCTAATCTGATTTAATTTACAAGGTTACTATGTAGCCCGTTTCACACACAGGCTTTCTCCCTCTCTGACCTTCGTGTGTCGTAGTCCAGTGTGAGTCCGTTGGGCCAGCCGAGGTCAGTGTTGATCAGAACCTTTCTGTCAGAGCCGTCCAGGTGGGATCGCTCAATCTTTGCAATGTGACCCCAGTCAGTCCAGAACAGGTACCTGCAGAAACCAGGAGAACTGGTGAGGAGACTTTCTACTGCACAGCGTTGAAAGAAAATATTGGCAAACATGTGACACTTCCAAACTAAAACACAATGTATGACTTATTTCTGCTAAGATTCCACTTTTTCTACTGGTAGTTCCAGCATAGTTCATAATCGGTCTCCTGGTCATCTTTTAACAGCTCCAAAATGCTTAAGAAATATACTTTAATAGTTTAAAAACCCAAACCTACATTTCTATTTTTATGAGAGCCCAGTCCCCTGTCTTACCCTTTGCTCGGGAACACTGCGATGGCTCGCGGTTCATCCAAACTGTTGTTGACCAGGACTTTGCGGCTTGTTCCGTCCAGGTGGGCCACTTCGATGGTGTTGCGCCCGGTGTCGGTCCAGTACATGTTCCTGGATACCCAGTCTACAGCCAGCCCATCTGTGGTCTTCAGACCCTGACTGATAACCGTCTCCATGCCGGTGCCGTCTAAGTTTGCACGCCTAAAGGTCAAAGTTAAGGGAGGACATATATGATATTTAGTAAGAGTCTGTATGGCTATAATGGCTGCTGTTTCCTGTTGGAAGGGACTGTCCCCTTTAACAAGTGGGCTTTCAATCTCTCTGTCCTATGCACATCAACAACAACAAAAAAATCGCACTCGAGAATATCCTTAAATTGATAGCAACATAGTTCACATGTTGTTTTAATCGCACCTTATAACATCCAGGGTGACATCGGTGTAGTAAAGTTTTGCGTCCACGCTGTCGTAATCCAGTGAGATTACGTTGTGCAGCTCGGGCACCGGCACGTGTACGTCGGTGTGGTCGTTGGTGTCGAGGGAGATCCTGCGCACACTGACACGGTTGGAGAAAATCAGGTAGGACTCCGGGGAGTCCTCACACGACTTGCTGTCACCTTTGAGCAGGATTCCAGTGGGACAGGCGCAGGATGTCCCGTTGGGGCGAGACAGGCACAGGTGGGTGCAGCCTCCGTTCCTCCTGCCACACTTATTAAAACCTGCAAACAGACACAAGTGCACTTCAAATAAATTGGAAATTGGAAAGACGCCTTGCCAGACAAATAGCTGTGTGCACTCAAAGCTGATTTTAGTTTATGTTTGAGTGTTTCCAGGCAACATATAATCACTTGTCAATCACTTGGCGAGCTACACATTCTACAATCAACAGGAGTCATATTCAGGACAATCATGCAAGGCTCTCAAAACAATTGTCACCAAGGAAAATATAAAAAGTAGAAAGTCGTTTGATGAGCTACGGTTAAAGTCATGAGGTATTGACTAGGAGATAAAGATAGAAGTATGTGCAAATCAGCAAAATAAATAGAAGAAAACTCAGGCAGCAGGGCTATTTCAACTGTGCCAGTAACACAGCACACTAAAAACCTTGTTTGAGTTCAACTGAACTATAAACAAATTGCTGTTTATCTATATTCAATTTTTTTCGTACAGCATCTATCATGTAGTATGTTCCTCACGGCCCGTCTACACTACAGGCATCGAAAAATGCTTTCAACGCTTCGCACATTCACTTGAATGGGGTGACGTAGAAGATTTTTAATCTTCGCCGAACTGCATTGTGGGGAGCATGGCATGGCTTTACGAGCATCTATCAGCATCAAAAGTTGAACAATGTTCAACTTTTGAGGCTCGATGCTTGGCATCAGCCAATCAAATCCTGTTTATGCAAATCCCGCCAGTGCAAGCGCAGCCAATCAAACCGCTTGCAAGCTGGGAGAGCCAGACCGCAGTTCATTTCCTCATATTCCAAACGAGATATTACGGTAGCAAATCACCCGGTTCTTTACGACCAGAACTATTTACCGGGATACAAACCGGAGGAACCAGGCATGGAGGGAGGTGGCAGAGACAGTGGGTGAAACTGGTAGGTTTTTCGCCTGTTTGGAGAGTTTATATCCAGTTTACTTCGTTTTAACATTGCTATTGCTTTGTATATCGGGGGCGGGAGATTCATGTGATTGGTTGTTGGTCGCGTTTGTCGCAAAAAATCCCCAAGCTCTCAGACACGCCCAGCTCCAAGATTTTCAAGATTTTTTCAAAGTTGCTGAGTGGACGTACCGTAACCCTAGGGATTTAACCAGCCAACACAAACATATTTCTTACCGGAAAAGGATGTAATCACAACAGAGATTTATTTACGCCATAATTCAAAAGCCGATAGCTGCGTTTCCCCCCAGCGAGCGTCACCAGCAATACTTCAAGATACATCCATCGGAGTGTGTGTGGAAGAAGATAAAAGATGGATGGAGCCTGGGTGACATACATCCTGACACCTCCACAAAAGAAAACATCGACCCCCCTGCTAAGTAAGGCCAAAAGACAGCATCATGTTTTTATTTCTAAGCCGTCTATATTCATCTTTTCCAGCTGCTGCCAATACAATCCAATTTTTGACAGACTAAATGTGGCGGCAATCACTCTTTTCTTTGACGTGGCACAGACAGGTATCCATTAATGTGTGTCCTGATGAAGTACAGCGGGACACCAACAAGCCCAACAGAAAGCCTTTGACCTCGCGTGGCTCTGAGAGTGTGGTAACAAGAAAATCAATATTCTGCATTTAGCTTTGCAGGACCCTCTGTTAAACGGAGCGACGTACCGCTAAGACTCTTTATTTTGCAATGATATCAGAGACACATCAGGCCAATTGGTGATTAAAACAAAAGATTAAATATTTAGCGTAATGAGCTACATTTAAAGGAATCTGTCAAAGAGTCTGCTGAGATTTAATTAGAGCCGTTTCATAAAACAAAACTTCAAAATGTGGATTAGAGATCCTGCTATGCATTCAATCTGCCTGCTATTTTAAGACGTGCTGAACATTTATTCTTAAAAGACATCTTAAAGGTCACTCAAAACATTTCACACTTCACAAAATACTTCATTAACACAAAGTGTTCTTTTGAGTTTCAAACAGGGCAGAAAACGAGCGTTAATGACTCCTAACGGCTCATAATCCAGCTGTTCTGAACCGAAAAACTACATTTCTCCACATATGACATTTACTCTAACCCAAATGGTCAGGCTGCTGAGGAATAGCTGCCCACAGATGCAGGGAGACATAAATAAAAACTAATGCTTTTATTCAGTGCACTTACGCAATCTGTTTGGAGTTCAGTCTTGTTTTTGCCCTGGTATGAACTCCGAGACAACATGAGAACACCGTTTGGATTAGTGTGAAATGTATTTCTCACAGTTTTCTCAGTTGCCAGTTCACAAGGAATCCAAAACTAATGCAAACATACTGCAAGACGGGAAGTAAAAATGCTGTAAAAGTTAGGCGACGATTGTCTTTTAGTCTACTATAGGGACTCATATCACATTGCATATATATGTGGAGGTGTGTGGTGCAGTGGGTTGTGCGTTGGTGTTGGTATCAGGGGGTCACAGGTTCAAACCCCACTGCAGTCAGCATGTCGTTGTGTCCCTGAGACACTTCACCCCAAATTGCTCCTGTGGGGATTGTCCACATCATTGAGTGTGTAAATCGCTTTGGATAAAAGCGTCTAACAAGTGACATGTAATGTAATGTAATATATAAATTCCATACTTTAGATTTGTAAAATTGTTGATAGGTGGAGTTTTAAAGGCAAGTCACATATTTATATTATTTAGCAAATGCTATACGCCTGTTCTCGACACTTTCCACTTCTCTAATGTAGAGAAGTGGAAAGTGTCGAGAACAAGCGTATAGCATTATAGCAACTGCCTCCTTTAGTTCAACCCAACCATGGGACTGCGTGTGAATTACAGACATGTGAACAACATTTGAAGGTATACTTGGCTGGCTAAAAGCCTAATAGGAACACTTACTTCTGTCCTTGAGTGCTGTAGTTGTTGTCGTACGATTCATATCCTTGGTCATCGTAAGCTGTTCCGTAGCCGTCGTCATATTCCTGCAGAGACAGAGACAAAATGCAAGCTGTTAGATGAGATTCAAATATTGAAAGATGGAGGAGAATTACAGAGATGTTGATAAACCTGTGAATCATTTTAAACCTGTTGAAATGTAAAGAGAAGGTTGAGAAATTATCTTTTCTGTACGTAGAACTTAGAAAGGTTTGTGAAATTTGAAGCCAATGCAGCAGCACTTACAATTGTTTGACTTTAATGTACGTCGCTTGGATAAAGTCAGCTCAGTGAAAATGTATAATATGTAATTTAATAAAAATATATATTTTGGACCCAAGCTGCTGTGTGCTGATCTGTTTGATCAAATTAATAATAATAATAATAATAACAATAGATTTCATTTTCATAGTGCCTTTCAAGGGACCCAAGTCCGCTTTGAATTGTAATGACTTCGGTTTCCATTGAATTTAAAGCTCTTTAATTTCCTCATACTGCCTGTGCTGCAGCACGTCTTTCCACCCTCTGTCTGAAACCAGAGCCCAGTGTGCTCTGATTGGTTAGCTGTTGTGATTGGTCAACCGCTTAGATATGTCCCGCCCTTTAATTCATCACATACAATGTGTTGGAGCGCTAGCCAATAGAAGCGCTATGTTAAACAGTGATGTCACTATGTTAGTGTGGGAGGGAAACACAGGGATTTTAGCCTTTGCAGACCATTTACATGCACACAAACCCATAAAACACAGTCAAGGAGGGGGAAACTATATTTGTATTACAGTGTTCTTAATATAGTATAGTATATATATCTGTATTATTTTTTACATTTTTGTTTTTATGTATGCACCATGACATCAAGTCAAATTCCTCGTACGTGAGAACCTACCTGGTAATAAACCTAATTCTGATTCTGAAAAAGCATAATAGGGCCTCTTTAATATCTTTTAGCAAACCATGGTATCTTAGTGGACATTTCCTAATATCTATATGCTAACAGGCTAATTCCTTCTTATGATAAATTGCCATGTGAAGCTTTTTAAGCCCAGCTCAGATATAGGTCAGACTGCTTGACGTGCCACTGGTGGAATATCAGTCCATATGCAGCACTATTAAAGTATAAGTGCAGCCCTGCCCTTGTCTCTGAGTCAACCGGCTGACAGTGGGATGTGAAGACTCTCGCTGTGGCGACGTTTCATCACCACCTCAAAGGATGAGCCTTGAACATCTGTTGGCGCTGCAGCAATCTGCCCCGTCCTCCCTTCTGCACTCCACCAAGAGGAACATCAAAGCAAACCAGTGCCGCACCCGTCCTAATTTGGGATAAATGGGTCTTATGTTCCACAAAAGGCGTCGACCCCTAGCGACACATCTCTCATCCCCCACACACTTCTTGGCTAATTCCATCTGCCCCCGATTTGCAAGCCTTGAAATGAATGTCAGTAAGATTTAGCACCAGAAGAAAACGCTCATCACATCCATGTTATTATTAAGGCCCTAATTCCTGATTAGAAACATGAATTTGCCCAAATGACAGCGTCTGAATTGGAACTTTTATCTTTAATCCTCCAGAAACGAAGCAAAGGGACGACATTTGACTCCGAACAGAGAGACCCGGATGTAGAAACACTTCCTCTTTGTGGAATTATTGAGTGTAACAGATGCAGACATTTTCTTTCACTTTAAGGAAAAACCTGGCAGGTAGATTTTAAGAATCACTTTAATATGCTCAAACCTCTCCGTGGTCATCCCGTAGGGTGGCTTTCAAGAGCTGTTTGTATTTATTTGTTGTTTGTTGTGTGAGAGGGAGGTCTATTGGTTTTTTGTTTTCTCTTTTATTTGTCTTGAGGTAGCTCGAGGGGAATTTAAGTCCCCCCTCGTATTTGTAATTCTACTCTTACAAGAGCTTTTCCAAAGTCAACAAGTCCCTGTGCTAATGAAAAAGACTTAGGGTGTTTCTCAATGTCGAGTATGCTTGCTTGGTAGCACATGTCTTCCGAGTCACTTGCTTCAGAAGCGAGGCAAGAATCCTTCCTGGCATTCGGAAAACGAAGAGTGGAACAGGCGAGCAAGTGTGCAGGTGTGCGTCATATGAGAGGCCCCGCCTTACATTTTCCGCCACAGATATGGGGAAATTGGTCCGTGCGCAAAGCATTGTGGGGATTTTAAGACCGCAGAGTCTACACAAGTGCAGCCTCGAAATGTCTTGCTACGAAGTACGCCGGGCATGGTAGGATTCCAAGTATGCTGGACATTGGAACAGTCCTTCGACGGGACTCGATGACGTAGTATGCTTGAAATAGTGGCTCTGGAGCAGCTTTACTCGACATTGTCAAGTCAACAACTCTACTTTTGAAGATATTAAACCCCTTGAACGCCTTTTGAAAATGGCAAAAGGAGATATTGTTTTGTCCAAAGGGTTGGTTTTAAAGGAACTTTTCAACAGGCAGTTTAATCTTTAGACTTTAAACTTCCATCGTAACCGTTTTTTGTCCTAACGAAACACTCAGGGTTAGGGTTTCTAGACAGCCTTGGTTGTCAGCTGTCACTACTTGTCATTGAACTATAATTGCTCCTTAGATTTAGTATCGATGGGTAATGTGTGAAGTGCTTTAGGTAATACCTCTATAGAGGAAGTCAGTGAGGCGAATCTATGGCGATTGGATAGGAGGTCCAAAACAAAACAGCTGTTAAAATGAGAAATTCCTATCTTCTTTAAAAAGGTTCTTTGAATGTCTTGGTATAATTTGCATTCTGCAGGTTGCACAATCCCTAATATTGTCTGATCAACGGGCGGCTGTGGCTCAGTGGATAGAGTGCTGGACTTCGAATCAGGGGGTAGCAAGTTCGAGTCCCACTGCACTCAACATGTCGTTGTGTCCCTGAGACACTTCACCCAAATTGCTCCTGTGGGGATTGTCCACAGTACTGAATGTATGTAAGTCGCTTTGGATAAAAGTGTCTAACAAGTGACATGTAATGTAATGTAATCTTGGTTTCCATTCTATAATCTGGTCAAGTGCAGTGGAACAAAAGTAAAGTCACTTAACTCAACGTTTAAGACTCGTTGAAGACTTATCTTTTATTCGCTGCTTTTAATTGAAACTGAGCCGTTGTGTTCATCAGTAAAGTATAACTTCTGTGTGAACTACTCATATCTTAAACTGCACTGTAACTTTTTATTCATGTATTTTTTCTTTTAATGTTTCTTTTATGATCTTTTACTTTTTTTAAATGCCTTTGTCTGAATGTCTTTAATTTTTGTAAAGCCTTGTGTTGAAAGGTGCTATATAAATAAACTTGCCTTGCCTTTAGGAAAACACATAAATTACCTCAAGCTAAAAAACATAGCATTGTAGTATATAAAAGTATGATTTACATTGATAATATTTCCACCCAAACTCATTCTTCCTCAGAATGAAGTTTGTATGTCCTGTTTAGTCTATTTTCTCTTGTAAAAAAAAGTTAGTCTTTGCATCACTGGATGAATAATGCGTTTAAGATAATATATAAACGATGATCAAGGCTACAGGTGTCTCATGGTGAGGGAAACTACATTTTAAATTCTATTAACACGTCTCCTGCTGCTTTCATAACACAGGATTATGAAAATGTATGTATAAAGAAATCACATGTTATATTAATTTCTTATGCAGGAAATGAAATGCATGCTGGGTCTCAAGCTAATACCACTAGTCTTAAATAACTTTGCATTAAAGAGAGATAACAGTTCAGGATATTAGTGTCTTATATGTCTGAGTACTGCCACGCTGCTCATTATTTTTGATTAGCCCCACCTTTTCAGTATATTACTGCCGGCATTTCGTGATACTGCTGTCTTTAAATGTTAAATATTCTGCCCTAGAGGCAATCAGAGGTCTACAATTATAAGACTCTACATTTTGCTGAAGTCGAAGCTTCATGTCTGGCTGCTGAATGACTGTGTTGATTCATTTAAAATGAAGAACAATCCATTTATGCATCTTTCTATAATATGTTCAAGAGTCATGTTTCATAAATTAGCTTTTAAAACCAATATGTATGTATGCCACATATTAGTGGACAAATCACAGGAGTGTTGTGTAACTATTATATTTAAAAGGACCTCTCATAGGCGTTAAATAAAGGAAATATTGTGCTTCCATTTAATGAGATTTATCTTGTATCATGCGTATTGCAAACGTAGTCATTCTTTATTTAATAAATATGGTTAGTTTGCAATAACTAACTGAGACAGCTGACTGTGTTTTTATGCTCACAGAAAGGTATTTTACTCAACTGAACTGAGACGGCATGCACAATCACAGATACATGCCTTTACTTTTTGTCCTCCTGTCGAGATTCCTGTCATTTAATATTCATAACCATGCTTGTTTATTCCAGCCTGCAACAGGTCCTGCATAATAGAGACAACTTTTAAATAGATTGAAAAAGAATGATCCCCAGAAACAAAAACAGCCGTTTTTCCCCCCGACAAAAACAGAGACGTTTCAATTTCAAATGGGATAACATTTTCTAGCAATGCTCAAACTTTTTCAGCAGGTGCCTTTTAGACAAAGCTTTTTCCACTTCAAAGGCATTGTGCGTGGCATTGTTTTTCTCAACACTTTGAAATGCAAACTTATCAACAATTCATAGATACAATTCTGCTGATTTCACCCTAATGCCCAAACTGAATATGTGCGGTAGCAATGTCAGCTGTTTGAAAGACACCAGTTTGACAGTTTACTATTAAGTTTTTTCCACCATGCCACTTGCATTTTGGCAGTGTTTGTTTCGTGTTCTACATTTCCAGTGATATGATTATTATCTTTGACAAAAAATTCATCAAAATGTTATAACCCCAATCCTAACCCTAACCCTAACCTTAACCCAGTGGCGAGCCGTGACTTTTATACCTAGGCCCTCTCACCCCGACCCCTTCCCTCGAGTTATTACTCACAGCGTATACTTCAGCGGAATATCAAAACAACGGCCCGGGGTGCAAAACGCATCAACGAAAGCTACCCTCTACCAAAC